AACCAATAGTGGAACCTGGATGCTCATATTGGCTCCTACATATTCTACGAAGATCTTTTATCGGTCAGACCGCATAACAACATACGTTGTTCCCTTTGTCATCGGTATGTTACTTGCCCGAGATTCGATCGTCGGTATCCCATACCTAGTTCAATCTCGTTACCGGCAAGTCTCTTTACTCGTTCTGTAATACATCATCCCGCAACTAACTCATTAGTTGCAATGCTTGCAAGGCTTAAGTGATGTGCATTACCGAGAGGGCCCAGAGATACCTCTCCGACAATCGGAGTGACAAATCCTAATCTCAAAATACGCCAACCCAACATGTACCTTTGGAGACACCTGTAGAGCTCCTTTATAATCACCCAGTTACGTTGTGACGTTTGGTAGCACACAAAGTGTTCCTCTGGCAAACGGGATTGGCATAATCTCATAGTCATAGGAACATGTATAAGTCATGAAGAAAGCAATAGCAACATACTAAACGATCGAGTGCTAAGCTAACGGAATGGTTCATGTCAATCAGATCATTCAACTAATGATGTGATCCTATTAATCAAATGACAACTCTTTGTCTATGGTTAGGAAACATAACCATCTTTGATTAACAAGCTAGTCTAGTAGAGGCATACTAGTGACACTCTGTTTGTCTATGTATTCACACATGTATTATGTTTCCGGTTAATACAATTTTAGCATGAATAATAAACTTTTATCATGATATAAGGAAATAAATAATAACTTTACTATTGCCTCTAGGGCATATTTCCTTTAGTTTGGATATCGAAAGTGTTCCGGGTGAAATCGGGATTTTACCGGAGTACCGGGAGGTTACCGGAACCCCCCGGGGACTTAATGGGCCTTAGTGGGCCTTGGTGGAAAGAGAGGAGAGGTGGCCAGGGCATGGGCCGCGCCCCCTCCCCCCTAGTCCGAATAGGACAAGGAGAGGGGGGCGCCCCCCCTTCCTTCTTCTCCTCCACCTCTTTCCCCTCTCTCTCCTAGTCCAACAAGGAAAGGGGGGAGTCCTACTCCCGGTAGGAGTAGGACTCCTCCTGGAGCGCCCCTCTCTAGGCCGGCCACACCCCCCTTGCTCCTTTATATACGGGGGCAGGGGGGCACCCCAAAGACACAACAGTTGATCTCTTGATCTCTTAGCCGTGTGCGGTGCCCCCCTCCACCATAATCCACCTCAATAATATCGTAGCGGTTCTTAGGCGAAGCCCCTGCGTCGGTAGAACATCATCATCGTCACCACGCCGTCGTGCTAACGGAACAAGCTCGGCTAGATCGGAGTTCGAGGGACGTCATCGAGCTGAACGTGTGCTGAACTCGGAGGTGCCGTGCGTTCGGTACTTGATCGGTCGGATCGTGAAGACGTACGACTACATCAACCACGTTGTGCTAACGCTTCCGCTTTCGGTCTACGAGGGTACGTAGACAACACTCTCCCCTCTCGTTGTTATGAATCACCATGATTCTGTGTGTGCGTAGGAATTTTTTGAAATTACTACGTTGCCCAACAGGTTTCTCTCCCAATAGTTCCTTCTCTGACCAACTCCTTCGAGGCCTTCCAGGGCGCTTGTTGTCTTCAACTCGCAACCATATTTGAACCGATGGGATTGTATATAAAAGAACGATGTGGGACTATCTATTCGGTTATTTTTACCGAGTTTTTGTGACGACGAAGAGGATGGACGAACCGAACTGGGGCCCAAGAGGATGCACGGATGGGGCTGAGGCCCAAGTGGGCGTACCGACGGACGAAAAACACATTAGCAGAGCGACGGACGAAAACAAATTAACGTCGAGTGAACCAAAATTACGGACGGAAATTAGGGGGTAGGAAGCAATAGCCCTTTTATTATTAGGTATATAGATTTATAGACATATTGTATAATACTTGCGTGTGCACACTAACACTCATCCAATATCTCAAAAATACATAGAAAACAAAAAAACTGAGTAAAGAAAAAAAAACACAAATACAAATACATATAGAAAAAAAACAGGCAATGAGTAATGGGCTTCAAGCCCAACAGAAAAATTCACTGGCCCCAAACAGGGGGAAGTCAAAAATATAGCCCAAGAAATAATCAAACAACACAAGGAAAAAAACGAATGTTGACAAAAAATCACCGGTCAGAAAATTGACTTTTCAGGCAGCTTACATAAAGGTAAAATGTTTGCACGATGCTGTATAATACTTACGTGTATATTTACACGCACAAAGAAAACCCGACAAAAACACTTGTTAAACAATACTAATAAATACTAATAATTCAAAAAAATACTAATAAATACTAAAACTAGTACAAAGCTAAAAAGACAAAAAGAAATTGAATTTTCTTGAAGGTAGAATGAATTAGGGGCATTCATTTTACCCTTCTGAAAGAAAGAAAATGAAAAAAAAAACATGATGACAAATTTTGCACATAATTTAGATGGAAATTGCACTTTTTCGTAATATGCAAGAATATGTGTATAATAGTGAAAGTTTTTAAGACAGAATTTTTCTAACAAGGGGTTAATTACTTGTGTCTGTATTACCCTTATAGAAGTAAGAAAAGAAAATAAAAACTAAAAACAAGTGATGACAAAACTTGCAGAGAATTTGTACTGAAATTGCATATTTTTTTCAATGTTGAAATAGGCATATAATAGTGCAATTTTGCACTATAGTATAACTTACACACATATTGTATAATACTTTTGTATATATTTCCACACGCGCACCTAATATTGACACACATAAAGAAAAAGAAAAAATAACTAAAAACACTTGATAAGCAATAATAAAGACTAAAACTAGTACAAAGTTAAAAAAGACAAAAACTGAATTTTCTCTAAGGTAGAATGAATAAGGGGTATTTGTTTTACCCTTCCAAAAGAAATAAAATAAAATAAATAGATGATGACAAAATATGCACAAAATTTAGGTGGAAATTGCCCTTCTTCCTAATATGCAAGTATACATGTATAATAGTAAAAAAATCAAAAAGGAATTTTTCTAAGAAGGAATTAATTAGTGGTGTTGGTGTCCTTATAGAAGAAAGAAAATGAAATAAAAACTAAAAACAAATGATGGCAAAACTTGCACACAATTTGTTCTAAAATTGCATATTTTTAGGAATGCAAAAATAGACATATAATAGTGCAATTTTTCACTATAGTATAATTTACACACATATTTTATAATACGTTTGTATATATTTACACATGCACACCTAATATTCACACATACATAAAAAGAAAAAATGACCAAAAACACTTGATAAAAAATAATAAAGACTAAACATAGTAGAAATCTAAAAAGATAGAAACTGATTTTTCTCTAAGGTAGAATGAATTAGGGGCATTGATTTTCCCCTAAAAAAAGAGAAAAAAAAACTTGAAACGAAAGACAATAGAAAATTTTGCGCCGTAGCACAATATGCAAAAATAAGTATATCGTAGAGCAATTTTCAGATAACATAGACACATGCACATGTGCACGTACACGCACATGCCTGCAACGCACGAACACCAGAGACGAACACCATACACAAAGTCACACACGACAACACCAGGTAGGACCTTTACAAGCAGGCGACACACACAAATGCACGCACACAAAATCTGATACATAAAAAATTGAAGGAAAAACAGACTAAGTACTAGTACAAGAAAGAAATGACCGACCCAAATGTAAATTTCAGGCGACTTACATGTAGCAAAACTGCACATTTAAACAAATGTTTGTTTTGTATCCTCAGCACCCCTAACACAAACCAGACATCAACCAGTGACCTTCGAATGTCTATTTGCAAGATTAAAACAGCAGGGCATAATTCTCCATATAATTTTTTCAACTTTGCTCAAAACTTTAGTTTCCAAATAGTGGCCCGTATTGGACGTGGGTTTGTTCCTTCCGCAAGTACCCTTTGGTTTATTTTCTGCCGATATGAGCCTCCAATTCAACATGGTAAGCCGACTTCACCAAGAACATGCATGATCTAGTAAGAGACCATGCCACAAAATCTTCCACTTGGTAATCAGCTAGCGGGATAGAGAGGATTATGCACATCAACAAACCAGAACATCTGAGTACCAAGATCTTCATCACACCGGTTTATGTTTGGATTAATCAAATCATTTACATTTGCAAAATCGTTTCGTGGAAAGAGCGAAAAGCAAACAATAGACATCCCCAAGTTAAATGTTTTCACATGAGCGGTCGGTCAAAACAGAAAATGCACTCTGGATAATGAAACAGGAAAACAGCATATTGCTCAAAGTTATTGACAACTTGAACAGAGATAACAGGTCCATTTCAAATTAAAGTAATGAATATATGTAATAAAGAAATTTGTAGTGCATCTGTAAAAGGAGGGAAATGGCAACAATCAGCTTATGGCAGTAGGATGCATCTCTCCGGATAGTACAGGGTCCAATACCTTCAGAACTGTTAGCACCCTGTGACTTAAGTGGTACTCCAATAATGAACTAACATTATCCATCTTCTTTATCATACACGGAGTATCAACTAAATCAGCAGAAGTCAACATTCATTGAGCAGTCAGCAGTCATGTGACAGCAGATGTCCTGAGCGACAAACACAATCCATCTTTTATATGAAGAGATCAACAGTGGTAAGCTGAACCGTGCGTTGCAAAACAGAGCGAAGGACCAAAGCAATTCAAAAAGTGCGCAAGGTGGACCAAATCAAAACAAGCTGCAAATCAACAGATCACACATCATTTGGAACATACTTGCTGGAGCATATCCGCTAAATTGACCCAAGAATGCATCTAAAGATCAACATTTCACAGCTATACATGACCAACATGACATTAGTAGTTTCTCGCAAAAAGCTAAAGAGTTACCAGGGGACTGCTTAGATGATTTCTCAAAGCATAGGATCTAGATACGCATAATAAATTTTGGTGGAACTGCTTTCATCATACCAGTCATTCTGCTGACAGAAGCACTCATAATCTAGCATTGTAGCTTTTGGATCTGCTCTAAAGAAAGCTTTGGCGAGCACGGCTCCTCTTCTCCCACACATCTGCTAATGGAGAGGGGGAACCTCTTTTCAGAAGCTGGTACCCTTGGCTTGCCACCACAGCATCGACTCTGTTGGAAGGGGCCATAAAATTGACGCAAGCTTCTTTAAGCTTCTGGCAATTGTACTTATCAGCTAGCCATAGTGCACTAGCCACATTCTCCACATTAAGGTTCATAACCAAGGTGTGTGCACACATAAGCTTCAATCTCTCTAAACCATATTGATCCGCTGCTGCAAGTAGATGCTGGAAAACAGCATTGCTTTCAGCTCTACTGAAATCATCCATCACAGGCAAGGAATCGGTGTAAATGAAATGGAGAAGAGCCTTGAAAACCGCTGGTTCCACAGAGTTGATGGTTATGCGGCTCATCTTCTTCTCATTCATGGGTTCGCTGAACTGCTTCCGGAAGACAGGTGACCGCGCAGCAAGCACCGCTCTGTGGGCAGCAAATGTTTCTTGTTCAACATTGAAGGTCACATCTGCTGTGGACGTATCCTCCAACATCTTGCGAAAATGCTGTAGTGCGTTAGGGGGAGGCACATCAATTTCACGCAATGGTTTGGTTTCAGACACCCTTAATTGGCCTCAAACAGTGATGACACATTCAATCACAAGGCAATCATCTCGGACATACACTGAATCCTCCAACGCCTCCCTTCTTATACACCTCTCCTTACCTCAGGTAGCCTCTGTGAAGCTGTCAGACTTGAATCCAAACGGCTCATCATCCAATTCAAAGAATACACTTGACAATAATGATTTGGGCTTTCCAGTGACTTGATCAATCAGTCTTATGTCGACGACCGCTGGTGCCTGCCCATACTTGCTCATGAACTCAACAAAAACTGATATGAATCCCTCACTGTCGTCGCCATAACCCTCTGGGTAGTACTACAAGATAGCCCAGTCGAATCCCCCAACCCTGAAGGTGCTGGAGCGGATGAAACCATCAGCATTGACGTCCATGCCAACAATCCCGTGACTAAACTGACAGATCTTCAGTCGGTGCGCGCCTTGCACCGCCTGATATGCGCAGGACGATATGGTGGTTGACGCCATCGCTCTCAGCTTTGTGTACTGTGGTGCCCCTGCAACAATTGCACATGCGTGTATGTTAATATATCTATGTACAAGAAATCAATCGCTCATTCGTACTAGATCGAACTCGTAAAGTTCCATACGAAAAGGGAAGATGCAATGTCTGATTCCAGTTCTAGGTGAAATCAAGAATGGATCCACATTTCGCCCAATCACCAAAACAAGAAACCAACTCCTGTTCTAAGAGGAATCAAGAAAGCACACGCATCGGTTCCAATAATCCAAAGGATCCAAAAGAAGACGGTGAATTTCAGATTGAAGCAACCTAGACGGGGGGCACCTTACCTTCAATGTCGCCGGCGGCGGACCTACAGCGTGTTGGCGGCAGCGGGGTGGTGCGTGGCGGTGGCCGTGCCTTCCGCTCTTCGCTATGGAGCAATGGTGCCCAAACCCAGCACACGCGTAAACGGGCCTGGCATGGCACGGCGCGCGGAAGCCTGTTTATAAGCGGGCCGTGTCATTCTGACACGCGGGCCGAGCACGGCACATTAACTAGCAGGCCAGTCCAACACGGTGGAATGTGTGCCGGCCTCCCCGCGTGCTTTCTCAAAAAAGGAGTTTTTTTTTACTGTTTGGGGGCATTTTTAGCCTTTTGGGCCAATTACCTTTTAAAAAGATGAAAAATAATAATAAATAAAGGTTCGTGCGAACACGGCACACGGAGTGCCACGAGCCAAACACGGCCCGTAGTCGCATGCCGGGTTGGGTCCATTACATGCCGGGCACGCGTGATCGTGGGCCGACCCGCAAAAAACACTTGTTTGGCCAGCTCCATTAGGGAGGGAGGTCAAGAGCTATAGGGGTAGATGGCATGGTCGTTAATTCCGAATATACAATATTTTCTATGGGCAAACTAGTAGTATTAATATGTCCTAAATCCTCGTTGTCACACAATACCACATGGTCATTAATAGGGCTGAGCTATTCGTCGCCCTCTCTTATTATATCACTACACCACATGTTTACATCCCATAATTTTGTACTATCGAAAGTGAAACGAGAAGGTCTTCGATATCATGGTCCAACTTGAGGTAGGGAACGGTCTTTAGGTACTTTTCTAGACAGATCGCTAGATCCATGGGCATGTTGTCACTCACATTGCCCCCGGTCCTGGAAAGGGTGGTGACGGTGTAGAAAACCGACAGATCCTTGCATAGGGTTGCTCATGAGGCGGGAGCGCATAGAGGATCAGAATAGGTTACACACGGAACGTGGATTTACACAGATCCAAATTCTTATGGTGAGGTAATACTCTACATCTTGCATGCCATTGTACTTACGTGCTCGGACGCATGGGCATACCCGGAGGGACGAGGATCCCCTGTCGTGGGCTAGCCTACCTTTGAGAAACTGACACATGGGTCCCACAGAGCATGGGGCCCACCTGTCAGTGACTCAAAGGCAGGGTATGTTGGAAATATGCCCTAGAGGCAATAATAAAATGGTTATTATTATATTTCTTTGTTCATGATAATTGTCTATTATTCATGCTATAATTGTGTTATCCGGAAATCGTAATACATGTGTGAATACATAGACCACAACACGTCCCTAGTGAGCCTCTAGTTGACTAGCTTATTGATCAAAAGATAGTCATGGTTTCCTGACTATGGACATTGGATGTCATTGATAACGGGATCACATCATTAGGAGAATGATGTGATGGACAAGACCCAATCCTAAGCATAGCTCAAAGATCGTGTAGTTCGTTTGCTATAGCTTTTTCGAATGTCAAGTATCATTTCCTTAGACCATGAGATTGTGCAACTCCCGGATACCGTAGGAGTGCTTTGGGTGTGCCAAACGTCACAACGTAACTGGGTGACTATAAAGGTACACTACAGGTATCTCTGAAAGTGTCTGTTGGGTTGGCACGAATCGAGACTGGGATTTGTCACTCCGTATGACGGAGAGGTATCTCTGGGCCCACTCGGTAATGTATCATCATAATGAGCTCAATGTGACCAAGTGGTTGATCACGGGATCATGCATTATGGTACGAGTAAAGTGACTTGCCGGTAACGAGATTGAACGAGGTATTGGGATACCGACGATCGAGTCTCGGGCAAGTAACGTACCGATTGACAAAGGGAATTGTATACGGATTGATTGAATCCTCGACATCGTGGTTCATCCGATGAGATCATCGAGGAGCATGTGGGAGCCAACATGGGTATCCAGATCCCGTTGTTGGTTATTGACCGGAGAGTCGTCTCGGTCATGTCTGCGTGTCTCCCGAACCCGTAGGGTCTACACACTTAAGGTTCGGTGACGCTAAGGTTGTTGAGATATTATTATACGGTAACCCGAAAGTTGTTCGGAGTCCCGGATGAGATCCCGGACGTCATGAGGAGTTCCGGAATGGTCCGGAGGTGAAGATTTATATATAGGAAGTCAAGTTTCGGCCATCGGGAAGGTTTCGGGGGTAATCGGTATTATACCGGGACCACCGGAAGGGTCCCGGGGGTCCACCGGGTGGGGCCACCTATCCCGGAGGGCCCCATGGGATAAAGTGGGAGGGGAACCAGCCCCTAGTGGGCTGGTGCGCCCCCCATGGGCCTCTCCTGCGCCTAGGGTTGGAAACCCTAGGGGTGGGGGGCGCTCCACTTGGCTTGGGGGGCAAGCCACCCCCTTGGCCGGCGCCCCCACTTGGAGATTGGATCTCCTAGGGCCGGCGCCCCCCTAGGGGTCCTATATATAGTGGGGGAGGGAGGGCAGCCGCACCCTATCCCCTGGCGCCTCCCTCTCCCTCCCGTGACACTCCTCCCTCTCCCTGAGCTTGGCGAAGCCCTGCCGAGATCACCGTTGCTTCCACCACCACGCTGTCGTGCTGCTGGATCTTCATCAACCTCTCCTTCCCCCTTGCTGGATCAAGTTGGAGGAGACGTCTTCCCAACCGTACGTGTGTTGAACGCGGAGGTGTTGTCCGTTCGGCGCTAGGTCATCGGTGATTTGGATCACGACGAGTACGACTCCATCAACCCCGTTCTCTTGAACGCTTCCGCGCGCGATCTACAAGGGTATGTAGATGCACTCCTCTCTCCCTCGTTGCTAGATGACTCCATAGATTGATCTTGGTGATGCGTAGAAAATTTTAAAATTCTGCTACGTTCCCCAACAGTGGCATCATGAGCTAGGTCTATGCGTAGTTTCTATGCACGAGTAGAACACAAAGCAGTTGTGGGCGTCGATATTGTCAATTTGCTTGCCGTTACTAGTCTTATCTTGATCCGGCGGCATCGTGGGATGAAGCGGCCCGGACCGACCTTACACGTACGCTTACGTGAGACTGGTTCCACCGATTGACATGCACTAGTTGCATAAGGTGGCTAGTGGGTGTTTGTCTCTCCCACTTTAGTCGGATCGGATTCGATGAAAAGGGTCCTTATGAAGGGTAAATAGAAATTGGCATATCACGTTATGGTTTTGGCGTAGGTAAGAAACGTTCTTGCTAGAAACCTATAGCAGCCATGTAAAAACTTGCAACAACAATTAGAGGACATCTAACTTGTTTTGCAGCATGTGCCGTGTGATGTGATATGGCCAAAAGGATGTGATGAATGGTATATGTGATGTATGAGATTGATCATGTTCTTGTAATAGGAATCACGACTTGCATGTCGATGAGTATGACAACTGGCAGGAGCCATAGGAGTTGTCTTTATTTATTTATGACCTGCGTGTCAACATAAACGTCATGTAATTACTTTACTTTATTGCTAAAGCGTTAGCCATAGTAGTAGAAGTAATAGATGACGAGACAACTTCAAGAAGACACGATGATGGAGATCATGGTGTCATGTCAGTGACAACGATGATCATGGAGCCCCGAAGATGGAGATCAAAAGGAGCAAATGATGTTGGCCATATCATGTCACTATTTGATTGCATGTGATGTTTATCATGTTTTACATCTTATTTGCTTAGAACGACGGTAGCTTAAATAAGATGATCCCTCGTAATAATTTCAAGAAAGTGTTCCCCCTAACTGTGCACCATTGCGAAGGTTCGTTGTTTCGAAGCACCACGTGATGATCGGGTGTGATAGATTCTAACGTTCGAATACAACGAGTGTAAGCCAGATTTACACACGCAATACACTTAGGTTGACTTGACGAGCCTAGCATGTACAGACATGGCCTCAAAACACGGAAGACCAAAAGGTCGAGCATGAGTCGTATAGAAGATACGATCAACATGAAGATGTCCACCGATGTTGACTAGTCCATCTCACGTGATGATCGGACACGGCCTAGTTAACTCGGATCATGTTTCACTTAGATAACTAGAGGGATGTCTATCTGAGTGGGAGTTCATTGAATAATTTGATTAGATGAACTTAATTATCATGAACTTAGTCTAAAATCTTTACACTATGTCTTGTAGATCAAATGGCCCACGCTAAT